CAGGAGCAAAAGGGAGGAAGTGGAATATCTTGTTTTGGTTTGTTTTTTTAACTGATGAAAGTTCTGTAGTATTCTTGTAATACTCAGGTTCTAAACCTGTTCTGTGAAATTCTGCCTCTTTGTGACTGTTCCTTTGTATTTTCTTCCTTCCTGTAAATTTTTGTTTTTCTTTTGCTGCTTTTCTGGTAATTAGAGGAGTGGTTCAATCAAGGTGAGTCTTTGCTCTACTTTCTTTTCATCATCACCATAATATGCTTTGTTCAGCTTTTACATGCAAGGCTAAGAGCTGAGATCAAGGTCTTGTTCATTTGCCTTCTCCTCTGCTCCCCCAGTGCATCCTCCTGTTGATTTCAGTAGGCATGGAAATCCTCTAAATAAGTGAACATTTTCACTTTGGTCTTCCCACCCTGAGAACAGAAAAGACAAGGTTTTATTCATTCCTAGTGTAAGTGCAGTAAGGGAATTGATTTGCAGCTGGCCTGATAACCCCATGAGAGAGGGAACACCAAAGTGTGCAAGTTGCCTCACCAACCCAGTCCTATCAAGGTACTTTTTCGAGCCGGTCTGGTTAGCAGCAGCCATGAAGACTCAGCAGCTTAGATGCGTATTCTCAAGCTTCTTGGTATTTTGTCTGCTTGGGCATGCATGCCTGGGCTGCTGCATCTTTATTACTGGCACTCAGACTAGCTAGATGATGCCTCGAGGGATGCACCCTTTAGTTTCTCATCCCAGCACAATAAGTAAAATTGCAATTGGAATACACAAGGCTGAGGCTAAAGTTTCCTTCTTCGCTTCTCAGCTGGGAAGTTGTTAGGCTGTGAGTGCCCTGGAGACTTCCTCAGTGTCACTGAGACTGATTTGGGGGTAAAGGCAGAGTCATTTTCAGTTTGTGACACTTGCTTCACAACAATGGGTTCTGGAGCATTCAGACAAAGGAGAAATGTTGGGGAAAAAATACACAACACCTAACTGCTCCACCCAACAAATGGTGCTCAGTAGTGTTCTGTGAGACACTGGTTTCAGACTTTGACTGGTGAGCCTGTGGAGAATGGGCGTGTTGGCAAGACAGAGGTCAGCCCTTGTGCTGTCTGTCTGGTTCAGTGGGTGTATGAAGAAGCACAGTACTGACTGTTGCGAGGAGTGAGGGGAGGTTGTTACCCTTGAAATTTTTCATTTAACTGGAAAGGAAGCGTTTGGGAATTAATCCTTCAGCCAGAACGGTCTAGCTGAATAGCTGTTTTGATTATTCGGTAAAGCAAAACGACATTTGAGGAAGATCAACAGCAACATTAGTGGTTAATAACTCTGGGTCACACCTCAGAGTCTGTACTGAGTTTCTGACAGATTGAAAATGCCGAAGGTCATGTTTTGGTTGTTTCTCACATAATGAAAAGTAGTGGGGGGAGAGAGGGAAAGAATTTTAATCCCACTGTTTCAGAGATGGTAAATTGCATCTTGCACAAGCAAGTCTCACGTCAGGCAGTTTTCCCAAAGCAGAGTGCTGTGCCCATTCCTTCAGCCAGGTCTCGTAAAGCAGCCCTGTCAGCAGGCATGTTTGGAGCCGCCTGGCTCTTGGCAGAGCTTGGAGCCATGCTTCTGATGCAACTGCATCGTCTTTTCTCTGGCATACCTCAGGCTGGAAAACTTGGGGAGCAGGGAGATACACAGAAAGGCAGAAATTGAAATGAACAAAACCAGGATCTTAAACTACTTTTCTGCTGCTAGAGTGGTGTTTCAGCATCCCTGTGCACTGGCACTACTGACGGGCTTCAGTGACAGAGGCAGGGGTTCAGTGCTACAGAAGCTGGCAGCGATGCTGGTTTTCTCATGGTATCAGATTTGTAAGTGGTAGGCTCTTGAACTTGCTAAATGTGGTCACCTTTTTAGAAACTCCAAGCCAATATTTGTTGATCCTATGAAAATCAAATGGGAAAAATAACACAGCTGGGCCACAGATTGAAACCTTTGCCTTCAAGATGGATTTCTTTTGGAGTCTTCTTACAGCTTCATTACCTCCCCTCTATAGGAAAGGCCAGGGAAATGTAGGTGCTTCGAGTGTTTCTGAACTTGGCCCTTGCTCAATTTGATTAAGCAAGTAATTTGTAGAGTTGAAATCCCCTTGGTCAGAGCTCTGTGTTCTGAATTGCTTCCATTCGTAAACAGCTGGCAGCTTCTGGTTTGAACAGCCGTGGTTTTGCCTGCGAGGTGGGTTGGTTTCTCAGAGGGCTGAGAGACAAACTAGCAAAAGCTTCACAGAAGATGGCCAGTATTTGCAGTCTGGCCCAGAAACTGAGACACTGCGACTGAAGATGACAGAGCGCAGGTGGAGTGTGCTGTCTTAATGAAAGATGATTTAGTAAATAGGCAACTGCTTCTGCATCGCCAACAGGATGTAGCAGCCAACACTGCCCTCCTGGACAATCTCTTCCTTAAAACGTTGTGCACAATTACATAGTGCTTACTAAATATTGCGCTAGAAAGAAGGGAACTCTTACTGTGTCATCTCAGTTCTGCAGGGCTAATAGAAATACCAAACCCCAACCTTTAAATTATAGAGAGAACTTCTGAAATGAGTAGTTGTGTTGAATAAGGTCTGGCTCTCCAAGTAAATATTCTGAGCTTAAACTAACGCCAGAGACAACAAATTCGGGGTCATGTGAAAAAACAGTTTGTCCTACTTGTAGATAAGATGGAGTCACATTTATTGGTCTGCCTTAAGTCTGTAATCTTTCCTAAATGCTGACTTCCTTCAAAGCTTTTTTTTTTTTTTCTCCCCTCCCTCTGCCCTGCTTTTTCCTGCCCGTGCTCTAAGGGTCAACAAGGGTTTGCAGCTGGTAACTGAATTCAGCTGCCATTATGAAATGCAACGTCCTTTGGTGATGCACAGCATTTTTTCTTTCTGGTATTTGGTTCCCCAAGCAACGTGCTTCTCATTCTTTCATGGATCGAAAAATGGATGGAGGGCTGCAAAGTGCAGCAAATTCCTGTCCCTTTCTTTAGAAAAGATACCTTTCAAAGGAGTGGCGTGATACCTGGTTGCATGACCATTTGGCAGCTTAGATGGGCTTTTTCATACTTTAATTAAGCAAATTAGTTCAGGTGAACAGAACTTCTAGATACGTGTTTTGTTTTGCACAGTAGTTAAAGTTGGCTGGTACTCTGTGTTGGCATTTCAAAACAAAAGTGTGTGATATTTCCAAAGATAGGGAGAGGAAGGAATACTACCTTCAGGGTGGTGGTGTTTTTCCTCTTGATGTTATTTCAAGGTATTCATATTGGTATTTAAAAGCTCTATTTCTTGTCTATATAGTACTGCATATGTTTATCCTCTGTCAAGAGGAAAGGTAGAGTGGCCCATTGAATTCATTGCGCAGAAGCTGTACCGGCTCCCTGCTACAACAGAGCAGGGGTTGGCCTTTCCCATTTTGTGACCCGTTCCTAGTTAAGAGTCAGACTAATCTCCACGTCGCGTTTTCAAGGACCATTTTCCTGTTTGCTTTTAAGCATCCCGACTTGTGGAGCTTTCAGCCCTTCCCATAAGCCTCCGTTAACAGCCTGGTAGAGTCCCTGTTTGGAAGCCGCCTCTGGCAGCTTAAATTGTGCTGTTTTGAATTCATCCCTTCACACCTGCCTTCCCTGATTTTGAGGGAGAGGGACTAAATAACTTGATTATTTTCCCCCCTCAAAACCATTTGGGAAAGCTAAATTGTACACTGCTGTCCTCAGAAGCCATGCAGATTCCTGCATGTTCTTCCAAATCTCTCTCTCTGCTGTCAGGACTTCTCTGATGGCAAAGTGCCCACTCATCCCACAGCACCCTTTCGGGCTTACCCAAGGCAGTTTGTCTCCTTGGGGGAAGAAGAGGGGATGAAAATTAACCCTTCCCTCCCCAGCTGTTTACGTAACCTTGAATTCCTAACCTAACTAAAGTCCAGGTTTCATTCTGCTTTCTAGGAAGGATTGTAGAAATTAAAGCTGACGTACTGGTTCGAAACTGCCTCTTAGCAAAAGTATGGAATTATTTCCTTTAGTTTCTAATAAATAGTCAAAATGGCACTTTATGGATTGAAGGGTAATTCGAGGTTAAGTTGTTGGCTGCTGTCTGTACAACATATTAGATCCAGGCCTTCCTGCCTGATAGTTGCAATGAGAACAGAGGCTGCAAAGCAAGCCTGGGTTTTTTTTTTTCCTCTTCTGCTGCTCAGTTTCTGCTTCAGCTAAGCTTCAGGTCAAAATGCCTCTGTGAAAATAACAAGTAAATACTGGGCTTCTGAGGGAGGGGCATAGCTTTGCCAGGAAGGGAAATGGCACAATTTTCCAAGATTTTAAGCGCTCTTAAGACCCACTGAAATGCTACGCTAAGCATATTTGCAGATCAGCGTGAAAGTAGCACGGACTTTTGTCCCAAAGTTGCTCATGCTAAAGCCACAGCTACGCAGCTGGATTCAAGTCAGATATGTACAAATATGGGTAGTAGCCTGTGATTTATATTCTGAGTCTGTATCTTCTCTCATCTTGTAGATGCACATGACAGTAACTTACCTGTCAGTATACTGACAGTCTTTTCCATCTGTTGTCTTATTTTTTTGCACAGGAAAGAAGAATGGAGATTTGGACAGGAATTTTGATACACTTGATTTGCCTAAGCGGTCTGAAGCAGCAAAAGGTAATGCTAATGTTTGTGCTTTTGGAAATAACAAGTAGCCTGGGAGCTGGAGGCTCTTAAAGGGACTTGAGACGTGAGCATACTGAGCTGATTTCTTTCTTTTGTATTCAGTTAATTGAAATAATAGATGTGACAGTGCTTGTTGTTACCTAGTATTCAATACTGGGTATAACCAGCTTTTATATAAAGCTGCTGAATTGATAGAATCTTGTAGAATCCCATCTGATGTGGTGTTAGGTGATTGTAACTCCACAGAGGGATGAGTGCATGCCCTCTTCCTTTACAACTCCATTTGCAAATCACCTGCAGTAGACGTGAATGTAAGGAGTTAGGAAATGCATTAGGTGAGTGTACTTACCACTAACCTTTCCCTTCGCTGGCACCTCAGTAGTTATTCAGTTGTTTTGACAAATTTGAGACTGACGGCAGGGAATGAGTTCCATTTTTTTGTCTTTACTGATAATCATTCTTCTCCTGAATGCAGTATTCCTCTTTGTCTTTAGTGAGCAGTACTTATAGTTTTCCAAAATCAGGAGATTCACAGAAAAATTTTTCTACATTGTGCTTTTGTATTTCAGCTCTGGCAGAGGTGAAATCTTTCACAAACAATCTGCATTCCCTTCCTGCATGTGTGGTGCTCTTATTATTTGGAGATTAGGAGATGATTTGGGATCTTGTCAGACTTCTTAAAGCATTGATCGATGTTTTGAGACTTGCACAGGTTTTCATTTGAAGTGCGTGCAATGTCATTGCAAAGATTCAGCCATTGCCATTGCAGCTGCTGCGGTGCCACCCTGTCAACCTAGCCTTGCAGGAAAAGCTGTCCCATAGCACACTCACCTTAATGATCTGTGCATACCCAGAACTACTTGATTATTCTTCAGAAGGAAAATCTTAAACTCTTCCTGCATCACTTGTACAATTTCAGAGAGTATAAAGAGACAGTGTGACTCAACAGAGCGATCCTTGGACTTGGGATACCTGAATTATACTACTTTAGTGACCTTGATCAAATCAACTAATTTGTGCTTCAATATCCTACTGTAAACTGAAGGCAGCAACAGAGGCCATATCTAACATTCTTAGAGATGTGCTGATAATAATGGTATAGTAATTACACGTGAAGTGCCGCACTCTCACTTAAATTCATGGACAGTGAAGCTCTGATTGACGACATGCAAACTAATCCTAATACATAGATGGATCTAATCTATTCACAGACACCCTTTACAATGAGTACAGTTTCTAGGATAATGTCTAAACACTAATTTTCATTTGGTGTATTATTGCACAAGTTACTAATGCACCTCTTAGAAGGTGCAATGCCATCCTATTTCAGATTGCAGGAAACCTCTCCTCACCAAGCTTTAATTTCATGTCATCAGTTCAGGGCTGGGCGTTGGTCATGTTGCAGAGCAAGGAGACTTCTTAAGGATGCAAAAAAAGAAAGGAATGCAAAATATAGCAAGGGCTTCAGCACTTTCATTCCTTTCTAAATGTGATTGGAATGTAGGTACCACTAAAGGGAAAAGATGGAAATCAAGGATTTCTACAAAGAAATGGATCTTGCTTAATTTTCTTTAAAATAAGATAAAAATCTTTCATGCGGCTCTGCTGATGGTAGTAGTGTTGTGGCATATCTGATGGGAGCCATGTCTGTCTCTGAGCTTACGCAGCTTGTTGTGATATTCAATTGCTAGAAATCACACACTCTTGAGGTTTTGTTTGATAATTTCAAGACGCTCCCATTTAATCTAAGCAGAATAGATTTTAATCTGATTATATATCTCATGCTAGATTAAGTCAGGGGATGAATCTCCCACAGCATTTTGAAAGAAGCTCTTTGACATGGAAAAAGGCATGAGAAACTATTAATTTGTGTGCTAAGAGTAAAAAATAAATTCAGTGATGCATTTTTGTTCACTTTTTTTACTAGTAGCTTGCTGCTAAGCATCTAGTGTACATGAGAGTTCATAGATATTAAAGGTTCTAACAAGATTGCAGGGACTTTGAATTGTTCTGTAAGATAAGAGGAATAAAATTGCAGTTTTCAAACCCTTAAAACTCCGGTCAGATCTATGCCATAGAGTATAATTGGCTCTGATGAGATCAGCTCTCAGCTGAAGCAGAACCTTGTTACTAAGATTGAAAAATCATGCAAGTTTTAATGATCAAAAGCACTCAGTTTGAGTGACACAATGAAGTGCTATTTCAAAAATCAACAATTATAGATTAATCTCTTTCATGTATTATTAAAACCATATTAAAGTGAGTTTTCAGCTGGAATCTTTGTGGGCAAATGAAACTGCAGTAATGAGATTTGTTCATGTAATGCAGCAAATGAACATTGTGGTAGTTAACGAATATTGGGATGCAGGGTTGTTAAGTTTCTTGTAATCTTATAGCCAACATCCATGGTGATTATGTGGTGGATCTGAATGAGGTTTCAAGAACCTGACGTCATGATTTCCCTATAAAATATTCTTAGGTGTGATCACTGAGCTTAATTGATAGTGTGCTTACGATCACTTGAAAATATGTGAACTAGAAGCAGTGAACTAGTTCAGACCTATTTTCTATCATCTCTGAAAACTTCTTTTGGTCTCAAATTACTTTAATTGCAAGAATCTCTGCCTGTCCTGTAGCCAAACGTCATAAACCCAGAAACTTTTGTAGTTTCTAGTTGGGGGGTGAGGATGGGTTAGTGTCTGTGTGAGAGGCCTGTGTTTTCTCAGCCTTTGTTCAAGGCAGCTTAGGAACACATTCATATCCTGAACAGTCCAGAGGGTCTTGTGAGTTATTACATAGTTTAAATGCTAGTAATTTATTTTTTTCCTGGAATTTGTTTGCTCTGGAGAGGAATGGCTGAATGAAGGCAATTCTTTTTTCAAAGTGATGAACTAGTCTCCTTTTCTTCTGATTGCTCTTGGTTTTTTAATGGAAATCAGATTTTGCTGCAGCACAGCATTTGAGCAACCCTGAAACCATTTCTAAGACTTTAATAATTTTATGTGCTAGGCATTCTGGCAGGGGAAAGCTTCCAGTTCAGGGTCATTATCTGTGGTAAACTGGATAATGTCAGACGGGAGAACTTGCAGTGCTTTCAGAAGCTGTCTCATCTGATATTAAAAAATAAATATATATGCTCTGCCAGTGTCCAGAGTCCTGCTGTCCTCATGAGGAAAGGTTGTGAAAGAGAAGCTTCTTGTTTCCTCTTTGTTGAAAGGAGAGTATATTTTTCTGACAGTTAGAGAGAGAGGATAAATTTTTTTGGGTAGTGATAAGAGCTTGCAGAGAGCCATATGAGAAGGGGACCGCACTGACAAGAAATTATGAATGCTGTCCTCAGGACCTTGCTAAATTTAGTACTTTCAAAAATTCCTGTTTCCGTGAGGGGTGGAGGGGAAGTCTTGCTGAAATCCCTTCCCCAGTATAAAGTAGGTCACTGATAGTGGTGCTGGCTGGCTGCTCAGCAGTGTGTTCTCTTCTGCACTGCCGCGGTGCGAGTGCTGATTTCTCCTGTGTGCACATTAAATGCATAGCATAGTACAATTCCTTTGCTTTGTTCGCAGAGTCCTTATTTCTGAGCAGGAATAGTGACAGGAGGCTCATGCATTGGGGGGAAGATCAGGATTAATCATATCTGTGCAGTGGAAAGCAGTGTCTCAGATGGCAGACTGTGTGATAAGGTTTTCTGAAAAGAATCGGCATTGATACATGTCAGCCCTCTGAAGATGTTGTGGAGGTTGTAACATTTAATCCTCCTGATGTGAAGGTATTGGATTGTCTGCCTCTGTTCATCAGTGCTGGAACATGGGAGAGAAAAGTCCGAAAGAGCAAAACTGCTTTTTATATGAAATCAGTAGGTTATTCCTAATTAAATCTAGACCTCTGTGCTATTTCGTTTAAGCAAATCTTGTGGATTCTTGTTCATGCGCACAAACATCCAATGGCATAAAAGTAGATGCTCTGAGGTGCTTTAGGTGTGGAAGTTCAGCTACGGTTTTGGTTTGTCTCATTAGGGAGTTGAAAGTTTTCAGCCATAAGGTGTGCAGGTGGATGAGCTAACTCGGGATGAGCTAACTCATTCTCTCCTTTAAATCAGTTATTAAAGTGGCCATTAATTTATCTTTTCCATTTTGATTATTTACGCTTACTTCCATTTTAATGGAAACATAAGTTTAGGAGAGAGTTGAGCAGAAATACTGAACTAGTACTAAAGCTGCTTATAGTTGAACAAGTCTGTTTTTTTGCAGCAGAGACCTCACAGAGAAGCTGAATCCATTTGAAAGCTCAGCTTTGTGTGTAGACTTACCCTGATCAGCAGCCTACGTAGGTAGGTTAGGTGAACTTGTCAGCAGGTGAATTTCTTCTTTCTCCATTACCTGAAATCCTCAGTTACTTTCCATGTAGCCTGGTGCTGATGATAGATTTTTCTATTCCAGAAGGTGAGTGTTTAAATTCACGTATAAATCTTTGTGTTACTGCTCCAGGAAATTAGACTTCCTGGCACTGTCAGAGTAATGACTTTAACTTAGTAGATTACAAAAATGCCGGCAATTTGTCTTCAGCTAAAGGCAACATGTAGTGTGGGGAGAGAAACTTCACTGAAGCTTTACCCTGCCTTTAGGTTTGTAATTAAGATTAGCTGCTGTTCTCATTTCACTGCAATTTTAATTTGCTTTCTTAAAATCTTTACAAGTTGACTCAAGCACTCACCTGCCCTTTCCAGCTCCCTTCAATCATTAATTTTGATTGTCATATTGTGAATAAGTGAGTAGAACTGATTGATTAATGGTACCATCCACACCCTTCCTGTGCCTGCTAGTGGAAATTGAGGGACTGGGAAGATCTCCTCTGTGAGAGCAAGTAATATGTTCTCATATTAACATCTTTTAAGTATTTCATGTGCGTTGTTGAGAATTCCTATCAGAATTATTAAGTATCTCTTACTTCTTTTGCTTTACTGAGTAGAGTGTTCATTTTGGTCCCGCGTGTTT